GAATTCTACGTCGATATGACGTCTACATCAGTCTGAATGCTGTTTTAATATTAAAAAGAGCAGCCGATAGCTTTGCTATATATCGACGAACTCCGATGTAGCTACATTAAAGATGCTCGTGGGATATGGCGAAGTTTCGATACTCATCCAAACGATCGTCCTCCTCAGCGTTTCTAGTAAGTGTCACGTCCCCGAAGCAATGCTAGAATTATTGATAACCAATTCCTAGTCAGATCTAGTATCCCGTGGGAGGAGAATGGAGGGGGGGGGAGAGAGGTAGCTTTTCAAATTGCGCTTTGAATCCGGGGATATATACTCGGAACCCGTGGTAATTGGATTCCTGGGTCATCAGATCCTCGAGTTCTTGCACACTTGGGGATATAGGGCCACTCCGGGCGCTCAAGTACGTGGGGAGTCGTCAATTTTCCCCACAATCTTTAGCTTCCTCGTTTTGATGAATACCTCGGAACGTATACAATTTTCAATTTTCATTACGCAGCAATTTGTGCTTGCCATTTTTACGTGAGTAAGAGGAGAGGAGAGCGCGCGCGTGTATAGGAATAATTATACACAATATACATGATACAAGTATAAATAGAACACCAAAACCATGTTGATCGGATTAAGTGGACATTGCAGGAAAAATTGAGAGAACGTAGAATACGAGGAATACAGAATATCTCGCGAAAGTATCGCGAAAGAATCGATATAGAAAAAACGCGGCAGAACGCGAGTGAGAAGCGACTCGTTACGATAATTGGACAGGCGTTAATTTATTTTAGTGAATCTACGAAGCGGCACAGCCCCGGCAGTACACCAAATAAGTTTCAATTTGTATAACGAATTTCTGTCCCCCAGTAGCGTCAATGAGATACAAGAATATACCAGGACGGTCCAACAATACCAGCAATTACCAACTCGCCGGGAAAGTTTAAGTGTCTTGCCATTAAATATTCGGCTGTAATTGAGGTGACGAAGATCTATTTGCTTCGCAATTTATTTAACGTCTAATTCAATTACTATCGGAAAAAAACTAATGTCGCAGATTTCTTCAATTATGAATATTAAAATGTGGAACAAACGACGACGAAAATACGGACCGTAGTAATTTAATTAAGGTGGAAATATTACTTGCAATGCAGAGTAAAATTAGTTAAACAATTATTTTCGTTCTGCGCAAATTGCACATACAATAATTGTAGTCGACAATTTATTTTACGTTCTCGTTTATTTAAAATATTGGATTTTTAAAACTTTGAATATTTAATTCCATTTTATCTTTAATTTCTTCAATAATCCTTCAAGTTTTATGTTTTGTGTTAGCTCATAAAGCGGCAATAATTTTTGCACTCACTTAAGCAGAATTACATCGGATTACTAAGTTTCGTAACTTCTCTTTCCTTTATTATCTCTCATTCATCTACACGTTTTAACCCCTTGAATGGATATACTATGGTTCTCGTAACTGGCGCTTCTCCGAAAGAAGATTTACACAATACTCCTTCTTATCAATTCCCTTAAGATCATTCGCAATTCCAACAACCGAAACATCCCGCCAGCACTCGCGCGTGACACGGGCGACATTATCGTTCGGGCGTCGTTAAAAACCGCGAAAGAGCGGTCTCTGTAAGCGTCTCTGACGTCTCACGGGGATCCACGTCCGGGAATGACAGTGATATCGCCCATAGAGAGAAGCTAATCGTTGGAAAGCGTTGGATATCACCCGGCGTGGCGCGGCGCGGCGCGTTGCGTCGGGCATGTGCTAACGCGAGCGACATCGTCGTCGTCCCGGGATGAATTATGCGACTTGGCGGGATCCTGACCGATCTCCTCCTTGCAAGTGCAACATGCCGAGCCATAAAGCATTCATCGGCCTCTGCGTGGTGGAACCGCAGATAATGCATCGGACGCGAGTGAGCGAGCGGGCGAAGCGATCCGCCGCGCGCGCGGGAATCGGCGCGATTGAACGCGCCGTCGCGCCAGGTCGATCGATCAATCAACGTTAAATGGCCATCAAATGGCCTCGCGACGCAACGAAGCTTGCACGCCCGCGAATTTGTAAGCGTGGACAGCTGTGCGTTCCAATTCGTTCTACTTGCCCGTCCAATTTGCGGAAAATTTCATTTGAGCAATGATTTTTTTAACGGATGCCATTGATCCAAGCCATTACCTGCAGTAGGACAGCAAGGAACAGCAAATATAATTAACGTAATCAAAATAAATGCTAATATCAAATTTGCATATTTAATCTAAATAAGTATAATATTGTCTTGCTCTGTAGCTTCTTCTTTAGTTAATTTTAAACGGATTTAAGTTTTTGAATTGTTTTAGAAGAAAGTTACGTTGCCTTGAAATTTAAAATTAATGTAAATTTTATTTGAAAATATCTGTTAAATTTAATTAGTTGAAGAATTTAGTTAGACTAGTTAGAGCTTAAAAGTTAAATGAAACTTGAATTGTTAAATTTCAAGCTTCTTCGAATTAAATATCAATAGATGTTAGTATACGTTTGATTTCAATTGTTGTTTCTTGTTGAAAATTGTAGACTTGTGAAAAAGTATGAATTGCAATCAAACTCTCGTTAGGAGAACATTTGCCCCAGGCGCAGGAGAGGAAAAAGGGAGCTCTGGTTTCTAAATCCTTAAATCAAGAACGAACAATTAGCTTCCAAGTTCGATCTCGTGCGCCCGTAGTTGAACGTCTAACAGCGTCGCCATCAGTTCTAGAAGCAAAAACTGGATAATAAGGTAGACGTTGCTTTGAGGATGCGGTTGACAGAGCCGGTCGCTGTTCGTCCTTAGTTTCCAGCATCGGTGCAGTAACGGCAGTTGCGATAGTAATCGAGGAGAAGTTTGCCCGACCCGCACGCTTTTGAGTGGGGTGCATGTGTACGGCACTCGGATCGATCTAAGAAGGAAGAGCGACGGAGCGGGCGCGCTGAGGTCGATGGTCCATTAAATGTGGATCGGACCACGAGCCAAATCGCACTGAAGGAGCAGTGCCGACGGAGAAGTGCTGAAATTGCGACGTCGTTGTCGCTGACTTTATTAACCCTTTACGGTCATCCCTTAAAAACCGCGCTCGTTGGGGCCGTTCAGCTTGTCGTCGCGACATTTGTTTGTCGACGTACACCTGCACTGCATTTCTGCATTATATTAAAACGCAAACAGTTTCTCAATAGCGCAACATTATTTCCTTCCTGCTGCAAGCGAAACACACGCAATGTTTCCTCACAAGGGCCGCTATTTGTAACACGCTATTTGTTAACTAATAGTTGTTTCCGGTATATATTTTAACGCTAGGAAATGTGAATGGCGACCGAAACAACGTCGCTGCCGCGCCCGGTGGTCGACAGCAGCGTGTATTAATTGGCGAATCAACGCGTGTTACATGTATCATATATACACCCGCAGAATTTAATTACGGTTCACTAACGTCCTAGTGCTTTTTGAAGCTGTACGCGGGGATAGCGGAGACTAGAATTTGTACTGTCGCGCGGATCGTGTTGCAACGATGTTACGTCCGACAGGGAATTGTATTTTAGAGCACGGTTCCTGGCCGCGTCGCAATTTTTTTTAAACCATCTGGACACTCGACATACCCGACCGCGTCTCCCTGTGTGTACGTGTAGCATAGCACGCGCCGCCCACGTCCGCAAATTTAAAAGTCCGCGTACCGACAAAGTCACGGCAGGGACGATTCGACGCAGGCCGTCAAAATGGCCGTCGTGTCCGGCGAAAGCGATTTTTCACAGAAATTTTATTTGCCAGGAACTGTCGCGCGTACTTAAAATGCTTGAACAAATTGAAAGGTCTCGTAACGTTGATTTACGACGGTTTCGTAAAGAATTCGGAGGTACCATTACATCGAGAATCGAAGAATAAGAATAGAACAAGCTTTGAATCATCCTGTATAAAGCGTGAATTACCCAAGAAATTAGTCGTGCGGAAAATGTGACCTGTATTCACTTGACTATTGCAGCCATCTTTAGATCGATGACTCTCTTTAGAAACGCAGTTGCCCGTTAAACGACGCATACGTGCATTCATCAAGGTTCCATAAATGTGCCGCTTTTTAAACCTTATTACACTCCGCAAATTGCTGCAGCCAATGAAAGCTTAATGGAAGCCTCAATAATAATCTGCAGTTTAAGGGCCAAAAAATTATTTAATAGCTGGATTGTATTTTTTAATTGAATATCGAGTCCTTAATTGTTATTTTTCTCGAGTTCTAAATTAATTCTTTATTTAAATTTTGGTTGGTGGAATTATGCTGTTCATATTTTAAAATCTAGAATTTATTAACATTTCTGATAACTGCGTCAACTTTATTTACAATAATTACTAATTATTCTTTTTGTGGTTATGACTCTTTTGGCTTTAAATATAAATAAATGAACTTTCCAGATCTTTTAATCGTCGAAACGACGGGAATAAACTCTAAATAAATAGAATGTCATCAAAAAGACATGGAATGGCAGGGAATCGGCGGCCGTCGAAGGTGCCGTTTATATTTACACGGGTCTCTTTTAGGAACTATACTGAATGTTTAGTCTAAAATGAAATCGGTCCCTCGATGCGCTGTCGTCTACATTCGCGTGTACATACGTATATATACTTTCGTATTTCCGTATTCTCTATAATGGTCGGCGCATCGAGAAAGCCCGAACGTAGGCACACAAAAGGGGACGTAACACGCGACGTTTCGTGAATTTCATTACCGTCGCCTAGCAGCAAAACGTGTGTTTTCCATCCTCGATCTCTCGTCAATGCACTATACTACCGCAGTCGTACGTATCGCCGCGCGAATCGATAATGCTCAGCTTGGAATACCGTCACGACGCTCGTTTCCATGAAAATATCTGTCGCGAAAAGGCATTTTACACGCTACATTGTAAACGATGATATTAGTACAAAAGTAATTTTGTTCTGTTTTCTTTTTGCAGAGAGGATACATTTTTTTGGATTGTTACTCAATGTTAAAATTCACATAAGAAAATGTACCTTCCCAGAAGAATCTTTTATTTTCACATAACTCATCGTGTTTTTACAACTTCCTGATCATAAATAAAAGTGTGCATAACTTATGTAGTTTGCATTAGCGGAATCGATATCTTCGGATCGGATGCAAACGAATTTACCTCATAGAGAGGGGTTGGACCCCGAAGTTCTTCCGGAATAGTGGTCGTAAAAGTCGGAAGACCGCAATCATAAAAATATAAAGTAACTCCACTTTACGAGGATGCTTAGGAAGAGAAACATATAAAAAAAAACTTTGCCAATCCGACGGATCCGGATATCATCCCGTCATCCAGGACTCCTGGCAGCGCGAGGGGTTGCTGCCCTTCGGATCGACTTCCAAAGCCCGGTTCGCAACGCGACATTACTTAAACGGACGTCTGCGATTAATGAACTCGGCACGGCGTTACCTGTGTGTATACGAGCTACCACGGACGCGCGTATATGTACGTGTGCGCGTCCCGTGTTGCACTCGACAGGGTCGCCAGAGAGTACCAGCACGTTATCGATTAGATAGCCGATAAAACGAACGCGCGCTCCGGCTCGCGCATATATATACGTGCACGTGTGCATGTGTGGGAATTGTGTGTTCGTACAACGGCCTTCTTTAACACTTTGTACGCTGGAAGCTGCTCGGAGCCTGATCGAACGGCGATGCCCGTTGTCGCTGATGTACGTAACCTTGCCAGGAGATTGATTAAATTGCGAGCTCGCGTTTTTTCAAGTCTTCCTGGCTGATTGCAAACTCCCTTTTTAGCTGCGACCAACTTCCAAGGATTTTAAATCACTCTACTGTTCTCAAAGAAGTTAGAGTGCCCTCCCTCATGATTAACGTCCGCCTTGACAATTTAAAAAGAGATCAGATCCGATGTGGTTGTTAAAATGCATCCAGAATAATTAGTGTTCTTATATACTTTCTTAAAGGTTCAGAAATTAAACTCGAAATTTATAAGAATTAAATTATTGTAATTAAATTATGATTACATAAAGTGCAGGAATCCTTTTCCGGCGATCTATCAGAAGACGCGGTAACAATACTTGAAGACACATTCATGTATTGTCGTCGTGAAAACGTGATGATGTATGATAGCGCTGTAAATGCTGATATATAGGAGGTTCAGTTATATTTTTATCGTGAGAAAAAAATGAGCAAAAGCGAATATCTTCGATACGCTTCGTACTTCGGATATCGAGAGCGCTCAAACGTCACGATATTATTTTTGACAATCCTCACTTTTTAACACTCGATTTCCTGCGACAACGTTACCTAGATTCAGTTTCTTCTCGGACGATATATCCTTGGGATAAATTCTTAGAACTATGATCTATACGTTATCTGGCTTGCGTAAAGCGGTAACCTTAAAAGAAGGTTACTGAAGTAGGTAATCTCTATTCAGATCGCTACATTCCCTGGGTGCACATTCCATTTACACATCGTAAATTTCAGCAGGAGCTTCTCGCGATATCCGCGAAGAATGTTACATTCGGCCCCGGAGCCGTCTGAAGTTTTCTCTCATTCACACTCACGGAAACGTTAAAACACTTTTCAACAATGTCTTCCAACGCAGAAGACTGGTTATTCGGGCGTCAACGTACCGCTTTTATATACTAAAATTTCATGCCGTTGTTACGAACTGCACACAAGTACATTCGCGGATCATCATTTGACCGATTTGGCGAGTTTTCGTCATCTGCAGCCTTTTAAATGGTACAGCAATAATTTTACGATTTATATTCAGGATTTAGAGCGGTCTTACCGGATGGCGTTTTATATGCCGGATTTTAAATCCTGAAAGAGAAAACGCCTTATCACTGGTGCACCGATAAAAACGCAGCATGGTTTACCCGCGGTATAGGTACCCGCCGCGAGAACGAGTTTAAATTATACGTTTCTTGATACGATCTGTAAATGCGAGAACGCCGTTTAAGGGACGCGACACTTACCGCGCGAAAAGGAAGACAGCTCTTTTTCAAGCAGATAGAATGCAAAGTTAACTCGGAGAGACATTCGGACGATAATAAACCCGCGACTTACTACCGCGAGATTAAAGCTCGTATGTGCGCTCGTCGTCTTCCGCGGAGCTACCTCTATAACTCGTTTACTCGTTCGCTCATGGTCTTGCCGTGCTCTGCCTCATCAGTCCGAAATCGCGGACACTGAAATTAAAGTAAGCTGCGCGCGCTTTTTCTGCTCTGACGTTTACGGCGGCGCCGAGATGCGCGGCGACTGCTTGGATCGTAAAAAATGCAAAGCAATGGCGCATTTTGAATGAAGCCAAATGCGCTTCCACGGTCGTCGCCCACCGTTGTCGCCGCCGCATCGTTCAATGATAAATACGACCGCAGAAATCTTGATCTCTCACTAGGAACCCCGATTCGCTGCCATGAATGCGAATACAACCCTTTAACTTTTAACGAGAAGTCTTTTTCACAAAAAGTTACTTTATGTCTCCATGGCATTTGATGGCTTTGAAAGCGGTAGAATTTCATTGATTTTTGCGATAGTTTTACTTGCACCATTAAATAGAAAAAAAAAAAAAAAAAGAAAAATACGGAGATAAATCAACATTTGATTTAATAATTTAACAAAATTTTACAAATATTAGAACTTGACATTTATCTTTATCAAATATATTTGGCCAAATCTCTTCTAAATGCTCTTTCTCATTCTTTAGTTTAATTTTCGCTGTGAGCGGAAGTCAGTTCAGATATACCTCGACCTCGCATTGTGCGCTTCTTTTTAAAACAGGAAATAGCTGTGGCTCTCTCGTAAATTGGGGACGTGGCTCGAGGGGGAGAGAGAGAGAGAAGAGAGAGAAGCAAAAGCCGCGGTGGAACAAATTACTGCTAACATTACCGAAAGCGATCCGGGATGCATAAACGGACATGTTCCCGAAACCTCAATGGCACGGACCACCACAATGCGTACACTCCCTTCGTCGCTCACTTCCCTCCCCGCCGAACCGCATGATTCTGCCTTGCCTTCCCGAAGCGACGAGCGTGCGCGAACGGAGATAAACCCTAATTTTTCACGTGATCAATTAGATCGTGTCGATCGGGGATGGACAAATCGCGATACGATAGCGAAGGGTGAGCAATGAGGCACATGGAGGATGCCGGAGTGGAGGAGAAAACAAATCGACGTTGAGGGCGTCGGAACTGAGAGATAAATACACGAGATCTATCATGCTCAAGACCTCGATCTTCCACGACGGTGCGAAATGTACAACCCGACTTCCGCAAGGTTACCGCAAATGCGGTAATATCTTTAACTCAGTTTTTCGAGAATCCAGGTGCACTAAGAAGATCGAATTTGAACTACGTGAGTCGAAAGTGTAATCGAGAATAATTGAAGAGTCGCGGAAATGTTCGCAGAATCATACGGCCGATTACTCTCATTATTATTTGCTCAAACTTTTAATTTCGATATCGTAGTGCGATCTAATACTTTCTCGAGAAAGTTGGTCTATTATAATCTATTATCTTTAATTAATAATTATGATCACTGACTTTTATGAAATAATAATAATGAGTAATTCATTACTGATAATTTGTTAATATATGTAACATTTTGCCAATAATTTGATAATACATGTAACATTTTACCCAAACAATATTCTGTAGGGCGATATCAAATATATTTTTGCGTGATATCTCTCGATCGCAATTAATATCGAATATCTCGAAATATTCGGCGGGCAATCGAAATTTTCCGGAAATTGTAATTCGCATCACGTTACTTGCTACGTTAATTACAAAAACAAAACGTTTATCGGCTGCGGTTACAAAGCCACTAAGCCCCGGCAATAAAAATGTCTCCTGGGCGGCTTCATGCTTTGGTCAAAGTGCAGCTGCGGCACTAAACCGTACGTGCACTTAAAAGCGACGCTTAAAGAGAGCAAAGGGATGCCGACTAAAAAGGCCAGGAAGCTCTCGGTGCAAAAAAGTGGGATAAATTGGGGCAACTGCTCGTAACGTTCCCTACATCGTATCGACAACGTGCAACGAATACGTGCACGATCAGCCGTGTCTATGTGAATGACGTATAACACACGAAGGATAAACCACGTCAAAGGATCCAACTTTTTAGAGAATACTACCGGGCAATCGCGTAGGTCATTACTCTTTGACCATATACCGCGATCTAACTTTTTCTACATGTGGATAGAACGACATAGGCATTCTTGGTGTCCTCACACATTCTTTCCCTTGACGTTTGCCCCTCAATAACAGCTGTTGATCTTGAGAGCAAAAAGAATTTTTACGCCAATATTTCTCTTCCTTTATCTTTTAATTTTCAATTCATTAAGAATACAAATGTCTGTAGATGATAATGTAAAAATTTTCGACTCCTTGAATCGAAGAAGTTTTCATATTCTAGTACATGAAATTTCTTCGAATGAGGGAATCCAAAATTCTTGCTTAATAAAACTCTTGCTTATTATAATTTTAGATCCACATAAAATCTTCTCGTAGCCTTTTTTATATTAAACGTAATGCCGGAATCTTTGATCTTGCAGTACTTTGAATTTTGGAATCTTTTTCAGTTTTTTACTCGATCCGTAGAATCTTTGAAGCTTTGTACCGTTGGATGCCTGCGTACTTTTAGAAGCCAGTAGGTTATTCTCTTGAAATCTATTCCGCCGAAAGTACTCGCTTCAATTTAAACGTCACCGGAGCGGGAAATATCGCGGGAAATTTTTGCGTTCGCTAAAACGAAGGCAACTGGGGGAAAGGTTCTGCCCATTCAGCCACGGCCATTCTCTCTTCGCCCGATATTCGGTATGCATAATCTAAGGATATCCACCTATAATCCACGGACGAAAAGCACTTCGTTGGCCAACCACCAGCGGGAGAAATGAGAATAATTTATATTCAAGTAGATGCGCACCCCCGCATCTATTCCCCGGTCCTCGGATCGGGTTTGTGTTTTGTCACCGTGCGGTCAGACATTAACATTGCCGCGGCACAGAATCGTTCCAGTCAAGAATTTATGTTACCAAACGCGTTCAAGTCGCACTAATTTACATTTTCAGTCATTTGATTCTCATTAACGATATCTCTCGATTTTCTTGAATTATCCTCTTTAGAGAATGACACGTGCACGTTTGTAAGCGTATATGCTCTGTTACGCATGTATGCGGGAGGTGAACATTCAGAACATTTAAATATTGAGTTTCCACCATAGTGGTGTTATATTTTTGTGTAGATTTGACAATAAACATTTGCGTGAAACTTCGTTTCACAAACAAACGAGAATGAAATCTCCCAAATTTAAAGAGACGAAATAAGTTAACTTACGTTAACTGTAGCACATTTATGTATCTACAATTTACAAAGTTGCAGGTAAGAGTATAAACCGACATCCTCAGACATACTTGTATATAGGTATTTTTGTATCTCTGAATCGGAATAACCGATGCTGGTTGCAACCGTGGCCGGAAAGAATCCGTAGATGGAAGAATTGGCGATAGCCCTGGGGGACATCCCCACATGTATCTACGTACCATTAAAAGTATTGGCGAAAACATGCACGACTACATGTTTTCTCGTATGCATTTAATGGTATACGTATCTTTGTAAAAAGCGGCATCCGTTAACCCAACATCAGCTCGTTCTACATGGGCGCGCTAATAGGAAACGCGTTGCCGAATCGATCGCGAAGCGCGTATAACGAAATCTACAAGCGCAATGCTTTTAATATGTCAAAGCGTAGCGGAACAGTAACGACGGGTATCGCCTTTCAAAGGGTTCAGTCCGCCGTAACAAACGCATTATTGCCGTTGTAGTTGCACTGAATAATACAGATAAATTATATCCCGATCGAGCACCTATATTATTAGCGCCCTTTCCCCCTATCTGTGTCCTTTTCTCATTCCGCTATTCTTTTGTCTAACAATTTATTGGTGACTATTGCATTTGTCCCCACTCCAACGCTATGATATGTTAAAAGTGTACTAGCAAACATATATAAATTAAATGGAAAACGTACCATTGTTTATTTTACTATGCTTGTTATTTGGATCATTGAAATTGTTGTTAATAGTTAACGTGTGCTACAAGCCATTTCATATCGAAATGTTCCTTTTTAGAGTGGAAAAAAATTAACCTTCCGTTGGATTTTAGTTCCAAAACTACATCCCTGAAGAGTACAATACTACCAGGAAGTTTGTAACATTTAACAGCAATTAAAACTACGGCGTTTAATAATTAACAAATATACAGAAAGAAAAAGGAGATATTTTTTAAATTATTCGAATAATTTAAGATCGAAAGGGTAAGGGAGAATGTGAAACGCATAGGACACCATATATACGTCAGCCTGAAAATCCTGAAACGGCATGCTTGGGAACGGTAGAATCTTGTTTCTGCTCT